ACATGCAGTATACAATATCGAAGAGATTTACTATTGGTTGTAGATAGTCCTGCCAAAGTGTAAATTGTATAGCTGACCATAAAATATCTTTTTTAACTGATAACCTCTTTACGGAAATTTTTTTGCGTTACACTTATAACCGTTAAAATACATGGATGACTGCACCCAGAGGTATATTGACCTTATGATGTCGGATCAAAAACTGACTACTAACAGGTGTAATGACCAAGAAAAATTACTTGACTTTCAAATAGAATATATGGTCGATATAAGCGTAAAACTTGTGCATTGTGGTAGAGTATAATTGGATTATGGTTTAAATGTAAGGCAGGCTTAGATGAGTGTTTAACGAAGTAGTACAAGAGATGACATAAATGATGATATCAAAGAGACAGAAGTATTCAAGTGTTGGTTTGTAGGGATTTGATTGGTTTGCAAGGTTTCCTCATGAACTGACATTAGTTAGAGAACCATTGAAAAACCAGCTAGGAGTACTGGACAGCTGTTTCGTCCTAGTTTGTGACTCTTCAGCAGTACGCACCCACCGGGATTCGAACCCAGGACCTTCCGGTTACAAGGCGAGCTCGCATACCATTAAGCCACTGCGACCCGATCCAATGGTCCTTGAATTCTAACTTCTGCCAATCCACGACATAGCGCGACCGCTGGCCAATGTCTTCGGCGAGTATTTGTCCTCACACCCGACCTGCTGCATCCTACTGGTCACGACTTCCCACTGGAACCAATGAGATGCTAACTAGCGACTGGCCCTATTCAGGTAGGTAGTTACCTGGGTTCCAATGGAAAGTCGTGACCAGTAGGATGCAGCAGGTCGGGTGTGAGGACAAATACTCGCCGAAGACATTGGCCAGCGGTCGCGCTATGTCGTGGATTGGCAGAAGTTAGAATTCAAGGACCATTGGATCGGGTCGCAGTGGCTTAATGGTATGCGAGCCCGCCTTGTAACCGGAAGGTCCTGGGTTCGAATCCCGGTGGGTGCGTACTGATGAAGAGTCACAAACTAGGACGAAACGGCTGTCCAGTACTCCTAGCTGGTTTTTCAATGGTTCTCTAAGTAATGTCAGCTCATGATGAAATCCTGAAAACAGATAGAAGTGTTGGTATCAATTATCTATCATATAAGAGACAAAGCTCACGAGAGGAAACCGAAAGGGAAGCGGCGATTTGATCGTAAGTGCAAGGGTGACTTGGAGGAGGTCATGTGAAGAGGAGGTGAAGGCATATGGGCAGACTTGGAGCGGAGTGAAAAAGTTGGCAGAAAACCGAAGGCAATGGAGACGCGTGGCTGAAGCCCTATGTTCCTCTAGGAATTAAAGGATATATTAATATTAATAATTATAATAATAACAACCAGTCAGCGAATGACCTCAAATGCACCAGTCACGTGAAGGAGGCATTTTTTAGTCTATGGAATACATAATCTTATGAAAAAATGCATAAAAACTGTATAAAAGTGTTACAAAGGATACTTTCTTCTCATTTTCAGTCTGGAGTATCAACAGAGTATAATAACATTATGGGTAAACTGTATCTTGATAAACTCTTATAGTGTTATGCGGTAATATTTACTGAGCAATAAATTGTGCTTGAAACGTCATCAGTAAATATTATTGTATAACAACCTGAAACTTTATCAAAATAAATATTACCCACACTGGAATTACACTCTATCACAGTGCCCAAGTTCTATTCTGATATTAAAAGAGAAATTTAACCACATCCTTTGCATGTAATTATTTAGGACTTCTAACGCTAACAATAACCCGAATCTTTCCTGAAACTAGCCCTAATGTGAAAATATCACTAAACTAACTATCATCTAACTCGAACCAAAGCTACTGTCGTATTTGCCAGGTTAACCTAACCCTAACTTGTCCTAACTTGGCTTAAAGAGTAACTTAATCTTTCCCAAATCTAAGCAGAAACTTACCAGATATTCCCTTTAATAGCTTAACAGTTCGATTAGCATATTTTATAGATGATGACATTATAATTTGCCGGATTTTACTAACTTACTCAGTGGGCGTTTCAATGTCATTGGTGCATTCGCACTCCACTGGTAGTTCGTGGTGCTTAAAGTTTAACTTGGCCCATAAGATTCATTAGGAAGATCAGAAAAGGTCAAAAGAAAAAGAAAACCGTGAAACTAGTGATGATAACGTAAATAAGACAGAATATAAGTCCCCTACTGTCATGCCATATAAGGAGGGGACATATGAGACCTTCCCGAAGTAGGATTCTTAATAAAGCAGAAATTAGAGCGGCATTTAAACTTACAAACTCACTCAGGGACAAGCTGTGTAGGTTAAATGACCCAGTTGACCCAATTAGTCAATATAATTTATATTTATATTTATTTATATAATTTACAAAATACCCTGCAATAATTGTGAGGTCAACTGCATAGGTCAAACTAGTAGGTCGGAATAGTCAGATTTTCGGAGCATAAGAATGAAGCTAATGAAAGAATAGTTGACCCCGAGAAGACAAGTAATTTAGAAAAAAGCTCAGCAACATATACAACCATACAATAGGGTGGGAGAGGGTTAAAATTCTAAAAAGTAATCTAGATAGGTGGAGAGAGAGAATGATTATTGAATCCTTGTTCATCGAGTCTACAGTCAACACGTGCAACAGGCTACATGGTAATTTTATACATGCTGAATAATAGAAGTGAAATTTTCTCACCTAATATCTTTCAAGTTTCGTTTGGCCTGACATATATTACGTTTGTCTTAAAGTACTTCAACAGATTAGAAGAGTTTTGCATACAATAGCTTTAAAGGTATCCCTCCACACCACTTTTAAGGAAAGTAAATTATTAGCATAAATCTCCAACCTAATTTAATTAGGTTAATGCAATACTTTGAGGGAAAAACTGCTTTCACTTGATGCTGAAATTAAGACGATCAGTTTATCAGAAAGGATTATCAACAGGCGATTGTATTGGCAAACCAACCTATCTCCCAACAGATATGTGGAAAGAAATGTAGATACAATGGAAATATACTGAGAAAACCGTTAAGAGATATCATACTCTGGACAGGCATACGAGTTGAGTGTCAGAGAGTGACATGGAGGTGATCAAGTGAAGAGAGATAAGAGCTTGTGGGCAGTCATAGAGCTAGCTGGAAAAGATAGGGGAGAATAGAATGAAATAGCTATCTGCTGCTGAAGCTGAAAAAGCAAAGAACGAATAATAATTTAAGGGAGGCATAAATAATCACAATCTACACATGGATTAAAGTATGTCCAGTTAAACTATCTTAGTATTTTTCAGCGGATAATTTGTGCTTAATGACATACAGACTTGAAAACTTTATAGGCAAAAACCAACAAAGTGGCAGAAGTGGTAGGCAGCGAAGACAGGACTCCAGGTGACCATGGAGAAGACAGAGGTGATGAAGATAATCAACCAACAGCGAGAACAAACGACAGCAATCACTGTCAACGGTAGAAACTTGAAAGAGGTCACTTCATTCACTTATATTAGAAGCACTGTTTTAACTACAGGAAGCCAGAACGAATGAAAATGTCAAAAGCAGTCAGAATCGAAAAGGCAAGGTACGCCTTCATCAATGTGATATACTAACTCAGGACAAAGAACAAGATTCGGGTTTCCAATGCAAATCTTAAGTCAATCAGTCCTTGTATATCAGCTACAAACTTGGAGCATCACGAGAACCATTTTCAACCGGCCATAGGAGACTTTTTTCAACAATTGCCTTCGCTTCTTATTGTAGATCGAATAGCAACAAGCAACTTTGGGAACGAACTAACCAAGAGCCTACCATTCAAAAAATATATAGGAGAAATTGGAGATGGATTGAGCATACGCTAGGTAGACCATGGAATGACATCACGCGCCAGGCCGTCAGGCGAAATCCGAGTAGGTCGTCCGAGAGTGATATGAAGGAGATCAAGTGAGGAGGTGATAGGAGATTATGGACAATCGCAAACCTAGCTGAAGATGACATCGGAAAACAGGAAAAAAGTGGAAATGGGCTGTTGAAGCCCTATGTCCCACTTGTAAACCGAAGAAAATTTTTACTGTAATAATAATATAGTTTCACTAATTTCTTCAGTTGTTAGGCAGTTGTTTCGTCCAACTAATTTCGTGATGAGATTCTAGGTACTCTTCAGTGTATGATTAATTTCTCAGCGGACGAATTAAATTGACTGGAAGTGACCAGCCTTTTTCTGTAAACAACTTTGAATATTGAAATAATAGCGAAGATTTGTAGCTCAGGTGGATGATTTGCGATTAGTTGTGTTCTCTGGGTTGTTTGGTTCAGCTGCGGAGCTGTTATCCTTCTTCTGGATAACATCTTCAGAGCACATTTTAGCATAAAATGAACTGACATGAATTCTTCATGAATGATAGAATTGTCTCTTGGCAACCGTCTTCGTTACTGGTAGCGGATTTACAGTTTGCTACAATAGGATGATATGCGAACATGCCATTTACTAGCCGTCTTTATATTTATTTGGAGCACACAAATAACATTTAGCCATATTGCGACTTACATACAAATATCATTATATATTTTAGCTATCTTTTCACACTTCGAACACTTACCTAGCTAGTTATCCATTTTGGAATTACATTATTAAACTATAAATATTTCATTTAATGACAGTAAAAGAAAAGCTTCCTTCGTAAACATACATGGTTTGAACAAATCAACTAGGGCGTTTCTTTTTTTTTATATTCAGCAGTAAATGTTCAACGTACTAAATTGCTTGCATTTGATTGGTTGAATGCATCAACCAATGAATGCCCTTAAATCGAACAATTTATAATCTCAATAAAATTAACTGTCTTCTGCATTTGATTGTCTATTTATTGAGTTAATCACTATGACAAACATTCCCCATATTCTGTGGAGTTTTATATAATTTTAAATGATTTTGTATCGAAACATTTTAAGCATTTCATTGAAATAATGCATCTTTAACACACTGTGATTCTATTTCTAATGAATAAAAGCAATTCTAAAGCCTCACTCGAAGACGAAGTAAGTTTTTTACGCTCAAGAGTAATTGTTTTACTTTGACATGAAATTTTATGTATACATACATGCACAAATACATATATACCACTAAATTTCAGTGATATTTCTTCATTGAAGAGAAATTTAAAATTGGGTTGACTTTATAATGTCGTGTCTTACTTGATTCAGTATTTAATTGACAAGGTCAGTTGTTTTATGACTCCATCAAGAATAATATTTTATGAGACAGAGTGAATTTTTCGACAATATGTAATGATGATGATGATGAAATAAATACGATTATCGCTTTGATACTTTCTGAATTTCGGCTGGGTGAGAACAGGAAGCATTATTTAGAAGAAACTTTTTGTGGATGAGTATCTTACCATTCAGCTAATCAGTTAGGAGGTTACAAATGCCTATTCGAAGTTTCAAAAGCGTGATAGGTGGAAATGGAGTCTTCTTTCCGACAACTTCATCAGATTCTACAGTTATATATCCAAAAGAATTGCTGTTATTAACAACATTGTTTTGTAGATAACATTGAATTAATAAGATCAATAGATTACTGTCCAAAAGCGTATATAAGTCATACTAGTATGCATCAATACAACACTAAACTCTATATGCGATATATTGTGAAAAAGCATAGACAGTTTTTGTATTTATAGGTTCAGCAGCAGGCCAGGGCAACAGTAGTGGCTGGACCTGTCTCTTCTGGACTCGGAGATCAGGTAGTTTTAATGGAACTGCAGAGGCCACTGCTTTTTGATCAATTTATTTGGTACTCATTAAATGATAGGAAAAATTTCTTCAAAGTTAATATTGTAAGATATTCAGAACAAGTGGTCTAATATCCGATTGTAGATGGTTTCATTTAGCCCCCCTGGTAGATACCCTCAAGCGTGAAGAACAAAATTCCTGGAACAACAGCCAATATTACTGGTTCCACAAAGGCAGAAGACGTGTCCAGCCTAGGTAGTTTGTCTTTTAGCTGAGAAATCACAAACCGCAGAAAATAATGGGATTCAAAGTCCTCTATATTAGTTTTCTTAAATAGTTTGTAATTACTTTTGAATTGTAATGGCATATGTATATACAGTAGCTATTTGTTAGGAAGCACAGAAGAGTTCTTTTCTGCTTTCGTGACTACATTTTTCATGATTAACCTATCTCGGTAGCTATTCTCAATTAACATGGCATTTGCATGCAGCTCTAAGCCTGTAGCTGCGGATCCATACAAAATTTTTTTTTTTTGCACTGTACAGGAAGAAAGCTTTGAAAACGCCTGTAGATTTTCACTCATCACTCTTCTAAAATTTATAATGGGTATCTTAAAACATTTAATATATATATATATATATATATATACATCATTGTATAAGGCTGAACATTTTGAATTTATGAAAGATCAATAGCAATCTGTTAAATAATTGATCGTAGTAGAAGTAAAATAGCAATTCTACGAGAAGTAAAGTCGAAGAAATTAACCTGCTATATATCCATTTTGTATCATCACTATTAGCACTTTGTTAATTAAAAAAATACTCAGACTTCATAATTTTATCTCACTGCAGTAAAGTACAGAGAAGATACTATTCGATGTCTTATATTTATTTCTTATCCTTAGTTATAAGTACATTTAAGGCAGGCTGGATGGAGTCTGTAGGGGAGAAACAAAACAAACTTCTCACAACCAACTTGATTTAACTTATATTTTCTTTTGACTGAATTTTTGTTCATAAATATCGAACAACGATGAAGTGATTTCTTTTAATCCTTTACGTTCTTAGTGGAACATAGGGCTTCAAGATAGACACTTGAAGTTTCGGTAACATTGGTACTAATTTTTAACGGGATGGGTTTGCTAATCACATGCCCAACCTTCCCTCTTTAACAGTCTTACTGCTGGCTTAGCGAGGTAAAGGGGTGCATCGGCCTGGGATCTAACCCAAACCACATGCGTAGATGGCGAGCATTCTACCACTGTGCCACTGACGCCCAATGAAATGGTAATGCCAACTGTTTTTAATTAACATATGAATTAAGCCTATTAGATGACTATTTTAATTCAGCTAAACTCTATTCCCGAAGAAAGAAAGTCTGTAAACAACTAATGACAGTAGAAAATAGGCCTCAGACAGTTCTGATTTCCGTATGATGATATACTGCAATACTTACCCCTTTGGCTTATGACTGAGCAGTGATATTACAGTCCAAATTATATATATATATATTATTCTGAAGTGATGCTCACTAGCGAATTGCCTTATTAATGTATATAGTCTCCTGAATTCAAGTGAGAAGCCGTGAGCAAGTTGAGGGTGAGGCAGTAACTCATTGAAGAAGACATGGTCTACGAGCTAGCTCGCCCTGTAACCAGAAGGTCGTGGATTTGAACCTCGGTGGGTGCGTACCGATGAAGAGTCCCTATATAAGCTGAAATAACAGCTTTTCAGTACTCCTCGCAGGTTTTCCAATGATTCTCTAACTGATGTCAGCTACTGATGTAATATTCCAACCAATAAAATAAAAATCCCCACAGAAACCAATACTTTAAGTGGAAATACTTATCTGATTAAGCTTATCAATCCACTTTGCACTGAAATGAGACAGCTCACTTTCGCTTTTTGTATCGAATATGAGATATATTGTTATTTTTATATAGAAGTATTTTTAGTTGGTGATGACTAGCAGTGGAATCCAGGATGCGTTTTTTTCTCATTACCGACTTGTCACCCAAATGTACCTAGAATTTCAGTGAGTAATGATTTTCTTGACCAAGACTGGAATCCTGCATCTCCCGTTCAAAACTCTAAAGCATTATCTACCAAAAGAACCATTAGGTTCCAATTTTTTAAATGCCAGTAAGTTAATATGTATTTCACGTCAATTGATTATTTCGGTCCATCTTATCAATCAACGGGAAACACAAACCAACCTTAAAATATATAAGATTTGTGATTTCTTTGTTGAAATTCATACTTTAAGAAGTGTATACATCTATTTCCCGTGTAAAGTGGCATAATAAGGTGAGCAACATTGAAGTTAGGCGTCGAGTGCTAGGTAAACAGGGGAAATCAATCGACGAAGTCGTGAAGTTACAAAGACTGAGATGGTTAGGACATGTGTTACATATGCCAAGCCATTGCCTCCCTCGACGAGCAGTGTTAGCGGATATAGGGTCAGGCTGGAAAAGAGCTAGCGGCGGTCAAACAAAAACTTGGCACCAGTCAATGAAATCCACAACAGTTGGTCTAAGCCACGTAGGAAGGTGTAGACTTCCAGGCTGGGGTCCTCGGGACGGTAAAAATCTATGGTTGGAAATAATTGGTGACATGGCTCAAAATCGTTCTCAGTGGCTAGCGCAGATGCATCCACTCCTTGTGACTTATGATCTCCAATGAAACTGTTTTGTTTTTCTTTATTACTTCTTTGTCTCACACTTTTGCTCACTGTTTCTATTATGCTTTTCTTGTACTTTCTTCTCTTGCTTCGCGTGCTACACGGAATGTGGCGACTTGAACTTCCGCACATTTGTGCAAAGTTCTATGTCGAAAACAGACAGACAGACAAATAATGTTTAACATTTGATGATAATAAGTAGTTGGAGGCAATCGGTAGGAAACCTTGGACCTAGGTTTCGTACTAGTTGGCAATCATCAGCAAGGCACATCTGCAACCTTGAAGGAACTCATGTCCCTTCTAAGATTCGAACCCATGTCATACAAACCCGATTGATAAAATTCAGTCGGCACCAAAGAAAGGTCTAGACATATCACACTAGGTTCCTAGTGTCCAATCAAAATCTTTAACATTTCCGTGACTGTATTATTATTATTTCCCCATGAATTAATCTGTTTTTCGCTCTGAAAAGATACTTGTCTTTTCTTTAACAACATTAGAGTGAAATTCACTAATCCACTAAATAATACTTAAGTGATTAGAGTTAATTTGAATAGATTTCTTTAAAATAATTTACATTTTTCTCAATCCTTTGTAATGTGACACTTTTTTTAAATCAAATAGTTTAATGAAATTATTACTATTATTATTTTTCTTATTACTGTTTAAATAATGTTCTCTAATAATAACTGAGGACGTACAACTCAACTATGATCACCAATTAATCAAAATTATCTTCGCGATAAGAAAAGTCAAGATATGTCAAGGCTAAAGTCATTAATAAAGATACAATTTATTGCCTTATAAAATGATTTTCGGAAATAATTAGAAGAATGTTTGACGATGATGATGTCAAATTTATGTTATTTAAGTATGTTTACACTAAGAGATTTCATGTGATAAAAAGATCTGTATTAATGACATAAAATTATTTCTTAAGAAGCAAACAATAGCAGAAGATTGGGGGAGATAAGATATTCCAAATGAAAATTTATTTGAAATTTCTCGTAATTGTCATATTTTGACATGAGGAATATTCGTGAACAGGGAGTTTTATTATAACATATTTTGGAGTATTTGAAGTACTGAACTAGTTGTCTTCTCTGAGATGGTTGATTTAATTGCAAAGCTTTCGTCGTTCTTTTGGACAATATCTTGAGTGCAGGATTCAATATAAAAATGAACTCATTATATTTCCTGATGTGTGAATTATTGAGCTCATAATGAACATTTTCATGAGGATTTAGTCATCTTTCAGTGCACCTACATTGCCTTGACGTCAACTCATCTCATAATTTTTGTATGGCTTTGGTTTTTTCATGTCTGTTTGTAAGTTGAATTGATGCCTTATTAAGAAATGTAGTGAGGACTTTAAGGATTGCTTCTATGCGAGCTTGAAGTCCATCAGGTTATTAATTTCTTTATTGTAGCCTTGTTAAGTCTTGTCTTCTGTCACTTCTAACAGTTATGTATTCTTACTTGCTCATAAAAGCTTTAGGAAAAATTTACTATGGCTATTAGCAAAATAAAGGGCTTGTTCTGAATCTTCACATTCCTATGGATAGATTTTCTAATATAACTTTTTGTCTGATAACTGAATTACTTAAAACGACAACTAG